CGTAGCCGCTTGTCGTAGTTGGTGGAAGGCTCTATCCCCGTAGGCGATTGCCTCTTATTTTTGTGGTCGAGTTTGGCTATCATACTGAAAATAGAGTGCGAGAAAAGCTTGCGTATCTAAATCGCGAATAAAATCGTCTACGGGGGAAAAGCCTATCGGCAGACCATAATCTAGACCTCTCATGCTGGACGGGACGATGTGTCGGCTTTTTGCCGGCGCAGGCTACGTTTCACAAGGTTGGGGGCGTACTCTTATGTTTTGCATGCCTTAGCGGTGAGACCATTGACCACGCGTCCTCGAGAGGACGGAGCATTGTTCCCACAGGACCGATCACCGATGGCCAATTGTTCCTTCTTACTTTGCCGAAGGTGACTCGAAAATTTCGCAAGATTCGGGGGTGGCAATGGCTGTTGAAATCTTTCTCCTAAGGCAGACTGGTGCTTTGCTTTGAAGAACTTGGAACACGAGACGGCCTTTTGAGGCGCATTGTACTTGCGTTGAGCACGTACGGCGCCCGCAACAGGCCGTCTGTATCCAAATGCTCTCGTTGTAAGCTGGTTGAGTGCCCCCCCCCCCCCCCCCCCCCCCCCCCCCCCCCCCCCCCCCCCCCNCCCTGTCAAAAGTATCTAGCTTTTTTGTATCACTTGAAAACCGACGTGCTTCAAACAATTGTTTCCACCCGAATGGCAACAAAAGAATCGCGTTTTTTGCCGCACCATGCAACGCAGGGCGCACCTCACGGATGAGTCAAGGCCATCCTGGGAGACACATAGAGAGCAACTTTCCTGGGTCCGGGAAATGAACATCAAAGAAGTCGGCCTTGAGGTGGGCGGATGGGTTGTTTGTCGGGTAGAAGGAAGTAGGGGTTCAGATGATAAGCGCTGTCTGTCAGCCGCTAAGCCGGCCGAAACAACGGTCCCGGCGGAGGGCGGGGGGTGCAGAGTGGAAGAGAAGGGTTGTTGTATGTATGCTGCACAAATGTCGGATACCGGGCCGCACGGTACACGTACAATCTGCTGATAATCACTGCTACTGACACCCTTTTTTTTTTTCTCTCGCTCTGTGTCTCGCAACATTTTTGGCGCTGTTTGTGTGGTGACCAAAACGATCGTATCTGGGACCGCGGCTCTTTGTTCCCACGCAGGACATGGCGGAGAGCATGCTACGAGCCTACGCACGCCACCAGTGGGATCCGGATATGACGAGGGAGAAGCTTCGAAACGTGAGTGGGCGGCGGAAGAAGGCGGGGTAGGGGGGGGGTGCTGCTGCTCCGTGATTTTCGACGACCGCTGTCACAGCCTCTAGTTGCTGCCTCCCACGCGTGCTCGTTGCTGTTGTTTTTTGTATTTGATTCTTGTTGCATTTTTTTGTTGTTGGTGTTTGTGTTGTTTTCAACGCTTGGAAGCGTATGCAGAGGAGCTAGCTCTCAACGCTTCAACGCTCCGTCCCTCCGTCCCCTCCTAAGCAACGTGCATCCCTTTGGAAAATATAGCCAACCCCCAAAGAATGACGTACTCCTCTCCACAACATGTGGACTCACGGGTTTTTTCCAAATACTCTGCTTCCCCCTTTGGCTTGGTTTGATTTGGCATTCAAAGGCACTCCTACTCAACCCTATCGGCATGGTATTTGAAACACAGCCGTGCCTCGTGAATGTGAAACGGTTCCTTTGCCGGGGTTCCTGATCAACCCATGGCATATCTGGTTTGGCACGGCAACGGGCAATGGCCAGCTTCTGGTCCATTCTTGTGAAACGTACCCTGGGCCGATGAAATCCCGGAATATCGCTCCAAGAGTTTTGGGATGCTTGGTTGGCTCCAGGCTACGGCATGCGATTGAGTGAGTACACCCCACATCGCCACGACCCTTGTGGGCTTTGACTACCCCTCCCTGACGGTTTGTCACTCCCAGGAACATCCAGAGCGTTGGCGGGAGGCCATGACACTTTCGGAGAAACTGGCGGATCGGCTCCCTGTTTGCAGATACCAGCTCGTCTGGAGGACGGTGAGTGATTTTTTTTTTTTTGCAGATGCGATACGTTTTTCTTCTTGTTTTCTCGTGTCTCCCGTTGTTGTATATGGTACCAGTATTAGCGTTGCCTATAGTTGGGGAATGTTGTTTTCGTCCTGTCCCATCACGTCACGCACTGCCAAGGACAGCATGAACAATTGTGAATGTGTGCCCAAGGGAGGCGGTTCATTGGTGCACTTTTTAGGATCGCGCTCCTCTGTTGTGTGCTGTAGCCCTCGCTCCTAATGAAATAATCTTTGTAGTTTTCGCATGGCCCCGACGTTTGGATGCTCGTTTCTTTGGGGGGGGTTACAGCTCTGCAAGTTTCTGGAAGCGGAGAAGACGCGTAGACGCCACCGGGTGCTGGGAGAGCTAGCCACGGTGCTGAGGACCTGGACTCACCTCGTGCTGCCGGCAATAGCCAACTTCTGGAGGGTGGACCTCTACCAGTCCAGCAAGGGCATGGAGGAGAGGGTGGACGCGGCCAAGGTGCGCGTTACCTTTATCACCCTAGCGCTATGGTTGCGGTAGCTTGTTTCACAGAGGGACGGGGAGCGCTGCACCCTTGTCGCTTCAAAAGTCGGAAGAAAATCACCGCAGGAGGGGAGAGTAGGGGGCCCCGGGGAGAGGGACCCTTCTGTGTGACCAAGGGTGGGACAACAAAGCGGCATAAATAAATCTATGAGCGCTGATGTGAAGTGAAGACAACAACACAAAAAAAAAAAAAATGGCCTTTCCGTAGCTGGGCAAGAAAATCACCACAACGGTTTCTAACCAGCGCGCGCGCGGGAGCACTCCCCGAAAGCTTTTTGCCCTTGTCCGTGTGCGCAGGGCCATTCTTTAATTCCGCCGCGAGTTCATTCGAGCTAGCTTGTTGTGGGGTTCACTTTGTGGCCGTCTTTCTCGCGTTCAGGACGCTTTCCTTGAGGACCAGCTGCTGCTGGCGAGATGGCTGATGCTGGCTCGCAGGAAAGCCCTCCCGGAGGACGACGAGGAGTTCAAGGGTCCCTGGTCCATCGAAGAGGCTCAAGAGATGCAAGAGGTGTGGCGTGCATGTATGTATTCTCATAATAGCATCGACCGCGCTGATGGGCATATCAATGACAAGATGTGTGTGTATGACTTTAATCAATTGTTTATGTGTCTGTTTCCGCAGAGTGTTGTCCATGTGGCTGTCTTATTAGCATCGACCGCGCTTCCTGGTAGGTGAAAGCACGTCCTCCTTTCTCGCAAGACGCGATGAAGCACACCTTTGTTCCATGTACGTATGTTGTTGCTTGTGTGTGTTTAAAAAAACTATCATCGACCGCGCTACAGTATGAAGCGGGCAAAGGAGATGACGTCATCAGTGCCACCTGACGAAATCGAGGTCCTGTTAATTGTAGGGGCCAAAACATTTTTGTGCGTTTTGCTATGGGCAGCATCGACCACGCTGACCGGCTGGGCAGCGGAAAAACGCCCCTTCTTAGGCGGACAAGACCCCCGAAGAGTTTAAAATCGTTTCGAACTTGTCAATGTACCCGTTGCAGAAAGAGTGATCACTACTGCTGTACCCACCCGTAAGCGATGGCACCGGTAACAATCCGGACTGGCGCTCGTGCATCCCCGGTGGTTTCTAGGCGCGCACCCGGGAGCAGGAGCGTGAGGGCAAGGAGGAGGACGGCGACGAAGAGGACTACGTGTACCCGGATTTTGATGATGAAGGCGACGAAGACCTCATCCGAGGGTACTCGATGGACGATGCCGGCTGGTCGGTGGAAGAGAGCCGCGACAGCGAACACCGGCAGAAGCTCAACACCGCGGCGATCAAGGTTATCTCCCGGGCGCTACCCCCGCAGGTAGGTTTGGCCTGGCGCTGCTGCCCCTCTTGTTTTCATGCCATGAATTTTCGCTTTTGCTCACCTCTTGTTCGCTCCCTCATTTTATTTTGATATGGTTCGACGTTTGATGAGACAAAAGGGAGTATAAAGCCTTGTACCTGAAGTGAACGCGCGAACGGACACGGCAAAGTATATTCACTTCGAAACTAAGCAAGCAGAATAGTGCGGTGGCAAAATGCACCTTTCTACCGTTGCGTTTTCTTGCACTGCACCCCCCCCCACACACACATCAGGTACCGAAATCCAAGTCGCCGGCCCCCATCGGGCTGTACGAGCTGTCGGTCGTGGAGAGGCCCCCTGAGCTGGACGTGCCCCCCCCGCCCGATATCTTCGGGGGGGACACGCCGGCCGGAATCGGAAAGGCGGGCGCGGGGGAGGTGCCGGCGTTGTCGGGCGCCGCAGACAGGACTTGGAGGGGGAAGAGGAGGCTCAGCGAGGAAAGCGCATGGCCGGAGGAAGGGCAGGTGGGGTGGGGTGTGTTTTTTGTTGTTGGCATCGACCGCGCTGACCGGCTGGCCCATGAAAATGCGTCAGTCCCTGCGCGGCAAAAAGCGGAACACGGCGGGTTCGAAGGGCCATGTAATCCAGCTTTGTCGCTGATCCAGCTGCGTAACAGGGTTTTGGTTGTCGTCGTGGTTGTCGTAGGCTTTTTCTTGTTTATCCAAAGCTGACGTAGTAAGCGGGTTGTGGGTGTTGCTTTGGTCGTGAGTAACGGCTCAAGTCGGCTTTGTCGTCAAGAACAGGTAGGGCTTTCGTGCGTGTGTGTTGGGGGGTGGCTATTCAGTCAGCGTTAACGAAGAGGCCATTTTTTGTGGGCGACAGCCATCGCGCCTTCCACACGTGCAGCCACTCGGCGCCAGCTCGTCTCTGGAGGCATTTGACGTGCTGCAGGCACGGGGACACCATGCTGTAGGCAAGGGGACGTCATTCCAAAGCACGTTGGGTTGTAGGCTCTGGCCACACCATGCTGTAGGCAAGGGGACGTCATTCCAAAGCAGGTTGGGTTGTAGGCTCTGCCCCCCCCCCCGGAGACGGACCTCTTTGTTCTTACTCCTATGTACCACCCTACTGCGAGGGAAACTTTTCTTATTCTTGCTCTGTTCCCGTTCGATTCACTTCACGACGTCTCTCCCCCCCCCCCC